TGCGACAGGAACCGAATAAAATGAATGTTTTTTGTTGTAAATGCAATCATTCTGTCCATACTGCTGAACAACATTGTTTTGGTTTGCTCAAAATTTCTTGTATATGTGACTGAGAATGTCAGAAATTTAAAATATGATTTTCACGATACGACAACCCTCTTTATCACGACAAAACATATCATGTGAAATAACAAACCTCTTCGTTTTCAAGATAATTATATGATTATATAGATATTTATTCAATGTATAATCTTAAAAAGGTATACATTTGAATTTCTTGCTTATAGTATGAAATTAAATATGACAGGATTCGAATCAAATAAAATTTTTTGTTGTAAATTCAATCCTTCTCTTCGTAATGCTGAACAACATTGTTTTGGTTTGCTCACATCTTCTTGTATATGTGACTGAGAATATCAGTATTTAAAGAACATGGTTCTCATGATGGGGACAACAATTATTAAATCGCCATAAATATATATTTCAAAATTACCAAACTGTACGGTTTCAAGTTAATTATATTACTATATATAAATAATTACATAATGTATTATCTTAGAAAATTAAACACTTGGGATTTTGCTTATAATATCAAATTAAACATGACACGAACACAATACACACAATATTTTTAGTTGTAGGTTCAATCGTTCTGCTGGTACTCCTGAAAATCATCGTATTTGTTTGTCCATATCTTCTTGTATACGTGACTGAGAATGTCAGTATTTTATGAACATGAGTGTCATGACGGGGACAACTGTCTGTAAGATCGCCATAAATATATCTTGTAAAATTAGCAAAATGTAAGATTTCAAGTTAATAATATTATTATATATTTTTTATATAATGTCTTATCTTAAGCACATAAACATTTGAGTTTTTTGCTTATAATATCAAAATATTTGCGACAGGGACCGAACACAGTGAATGTTTTTAGTTGTAGATGCAATACTTTTCTTCGTACTGCTGAATAAATTCGTTTTCGTTTTCTCATATCTTCTTGTATATGCGACTGAGAATGAGAGTATTTTAAGAACAGTAGTTTCACGATGGGATAAAATTCTTTATCATCGCTATAAATATATCTTGCGAACTAAATTATATGTATGTTATGAAGTTAAATTATATGCGTATTTAAATATCTATATCATGTCCTATTTTAACACGTAAACTTTTGAGTTTTTTGCTTATTATATCAAATTAAATATGACAGGAACTGAATACACTGAATGTTTTCTGTTGTAGATGCAATCGCCCTGCTGAACAACATCGATTTGATTTGATCATACATTCGTGTATTAGTGACTGATAATATCAGTATTTTATGAACATCAGTTACACAATGGGGACAACAGTCTTAATCATCGACTTAAATATATCTTTTGAAATTACCAAAAAGTACGATATCATCATAAATATATGTTTATATAAATATTTGTACAATATCTTAAAAACGAAACATTTGAGATTTTTCCTGATAATATAAAATTAATTATGACAGGAATCGAACACAATGAAGAATTGTAATTGTAGAAGCAATAGTTCTTCTCGTACTGCTGAATAACATAAGTATGGCTTGCTCATATCTTCTTGTATATGTGACAGAGAATGTCATTATTTTTAGAACATGAGTTCCAAGATGGGGACAACAGTTTTTAACATCCCCATAAATTTAACTTGCGAAATTACGAAAATGTACACTATCAACTTCTAATTATATTGTGACGTGTTGCGCAACGAAGGACCTCAGCTCCCCAGCGGAACGTGACGGTAACGTAGCGCTCTCGTAATAGGCGAGTCATCACCCCGCCACTCTCCCTGCGCTGACGTCACCAAGGGATATCACAGTTGCTAGGCAGCAGTCAAGAACTCCGGACAGCGTGGCTAGCAACACGGCATCAGAGTCCTCGAGCTACCTCCGAGAGTTCCGGGCAAGCCTACGAGTGAAAGTGTGTAATTCAGGGAGACTTGTATAGCTCCCGCGTTATTAATACGTGAAGACTACTGAAGATAGTGTGAAGAGATTTGGTTGTAGGGTTTGTAAAGTGTGGAAACCCGTAACATTGTTATAATTAATTGTAGCCGTTACTTATAGGTTGTTAAATAAACCAATTAACGATCTCTACGGCGTATTCAGTAACGAAGCACGTTACAATATGATTATATAGGTATTTATACCATGTCTGATATTAAACACGCAAAATTTCAGATTTTTGTTTATAATATCAAATTCAATATGACAGGAACCGAATACAATCAATGTTTTTAGTTGTAGATGCAATCGTTCTGTTCGTAAGGCTGAATAACTCCATATTTGTTTGTTTATACCTTCTTGTATACGTGACTGAGAATGTCTGTATTGTTGAACATAAGTGTCGAGGTGGGGAAAACAGTCTGGAAGATCGTCATAAGTATATCTTGTAAAATTAACAAACTGTACGATTTTGAGTTAATAATATTATTATATAAATTTATACAATGTCTTATCTTAAACATGTAAACATTTGAGTTTTTGCTTATATCAAATTAAATGCGACAGGGGCCTAATACAATGAATATTTTAAGTTGTAGATGCAATCGTTCTGCTCGTGCGGCTGAATAATATCGTTTGGTTTGCTCATGTTTCTTGCATATGTGACTGAGAATGTCAGTATTTTAAGATACATGCACGAAGGGGACAACAGACTCTAACATCGCCATAAATATATATTGTGAAATTACCAAAGGGTTCGGTATCAAGTTAATTATATGGTTACTTAAATATTTGTACAATATGTTATTTGAAACACGCAAGTATTTGAGTTTAATTCTTATAATATCAAAATAAATATGACGGGAACCGAATACACTGAATATTTTTTGTTGTAGATTCAATCGTTCTGTCTGTACTGCTGAATAACATCGTTTTCGTTTGCTCATATCTTCTTAAATATGTGACTGAGAATGTCAGTATATTAAGAATATGATTTTCATGATGGGGACAAAATTCTTTAACATCGTCATAAATATATCTAGTGAAATTAGAAACATGTTGAGTATCAAATTAAACTATATGATTATATAGATATTTATACAATATCTTATATTAAACAAGTAAACATTTGAGTTTCTTGTTTATAGTATCAAATTAAATATGACAGGAATCGAATACAATGAATGTTTTTATTTGTTGATGCAATCGTTCTGTTCGTACTGAATATCATCGTTTTGGTTTGCTCAGATATTCTTGTGTATATGACTGAAAATGTCAGTATTTTAAGATACATGAGTTGCGCGATGGGAACAACAATCTTTAACATCGCCATAAATACAAGGTCCGTATAAAATGTATCGGGAAATATCTTTCCCTTACTTGACTGTACACCGCAGCACGCTCGCACCGCGCAGACGTAGTAGGGGGGTCTAACCTTTAACACGCGCCAAGCGCCATTCGCCTGAGCGCGTTTGTAGAGGCCAGGCCGTGTTTTCAGTGGACCCCTGTCGAGTGAGTTGGTGCAAGCGCAGAATGCAGCGAACGATTGAACAGAGGTACGCCATCATGTTTTGTGTTGGACTGGGAAAATCGGGTACGGAGACGTTGGGCATGATTCGCCAAGTGTTCAAGGATGAAAGCATGTCACAAACTGCAGTTTTTAAGTGGCACAAGCTCTTCAAAAGTGGCCGAGAGAGTGTGGAGAATGAGCCCCGCGGTGGACGGTCGTCGACGTCAAGAACCGACGACAACATGCAACGTGTGCGTGACGTACTCAATTCAGACCATCGGTTAAGTGTGCGCATGATTGCAGATCGTGTTGGCATTGATAAGATGACGGTGCACACCATTATCACTGAAGATTTGGCGATGCGAAAGGTCTGCGCGAAACTCGTCCCGAAGGTCTTGACGGACGACCAAAAGCAGAGACGAGTGGCTGCTTGCGAAGACCTTCTGCAACGCGTTGAGGAAGACCCCGGCTTTCTGGACAACGTCATCACGGAAGACGAAAGTTGGATATTCGAGTACGACCTGGAAACAAAGCGTCAAAGTTCCGAATGGCACACTTCGGCATCACCTCATCCAAAAAAGTCGCGAATGAGCAAATCCAGAATGAAAACCATGCTCATCGTTTTCTTCGACGCCCAGGGGGTGGTCCACTACGAATTTGTACCTGAGGGGCAAACAGTGAATGGAGCTTTTTACCTGGAAGTGCTAAGAAGAATGAAGAGAAGGGTCAATCGGGTGATGCCAGCCATTGCCGGAAATTGGAAATTGCATCACGACAATGCACCCAGTCACACCTGCTCCAAGGTGACCGACTACCTGACAAAAAACGGCATCGCGACGGTACCCCAACCCCCCTACAGTCCCGACTTGGCACCAGCAGACTTTTTCCTGTTCCCGCAAGTGAAATCCTCCCTCAAAGGGCACCATCATGGGACCCTGAGTGCCGTCAAAGGGGCTTGCACGCGGACCCTTAAGGACCTTCCAGAATCCGCCTATAAGGGAGCCTTCTTGTCGTGGCAACGCCGTTACAAAAGTGTATCGATGCACAAGGGATGTATTTTGAAGAATTTTGAGGCACTGTAGCAATATCTGAAATAAATCTATTTTCCCGGAACTTTCCCCGATACTTTTTATACGGACCTTGAGAAATTACCAAACTGTTCGTTTTCAAGTTAATTGTATGACTATATAATTATTTGTACTATATCTTATTTAACTTAACGTGCCAGCGGGCCACTCTAGCGGCCGTCCCTTAACTGCCAGGCCATTTAAATTCGTTTCAGATACTATTACATGCTTATTTATAATAAATTCTACTCATCCCATTTTTGCAGTCAGATAACTGGAAAAATTCCTGGTTGTTGCATGATGAATGTATATTCTTGTGCAGGAACAATTTTATTTCTATCACAGCACATTATGAAGATAAAAAATATTTTTCGTACTTTTGTTAGAAAAAAAAACGAAACTTTGACTTTCAAGGATAATATCAACATCAAATATTTGAAAAAGTAATTACCTGTTGTTGTTTTCTGATAGCTCCATTCATTTTATATATGAGGTTAAAATTTGAAAACTGTACACCAAATAGTTTATTCATCATATCAATATTTGTAAAACACTGCAGTTCTCGTTCTCACTGACTGTGCACAAGTGAAAAAACATAAGTGGACTATGTACCACCGGTACATTTATGTTCAGGGATGTGGTGGAAAACAGATAAAAATATTGATTTTGGGTCATAGGTGCGGATGGGATATACTTTGATCCTTGCGTTTCTGTATAACAAAAATGGAGTTGGGCCTGAATATTACTCTCCTCAGCAACCTCCCCGTGAATGATTTCAACTGTGCCACCAAGGTCACTGTCACTTGTTTCACTGATGCGCTCAGGTGAACTGCGTCTCGTTTCGGCGGAGTTGATGTAGAAATTTCACTCCCGCTGCTGTTTGAAGAGATATTTTCATTGTCAGACAACTCAAAATCACTAACAACATCTTCTTCCATCAAACCGTGAATGTCAGCACCCTTCATTTATCTCCTAGCCATGGTAAAACACAAAAAAAATGGCACAATTGAAGCAGAATTTGAAACCAGGCAGACACAAAGGCCCTCACTGCACGTGTTCTTGGCTTGAAGGTCACGAGACTGGAACAGAATATAAGCTGAAGACCTATTCTACCAGCTGAAGTGAATTCAAGTGCCATCTATAGGCGAATAGGTAGAAATACAATGAAATCAAACCGACTTCGGAAGCCCATAGTGTCATCCGTTGCGATATTATTCACAGAGGGTATATTCTTAATGCAATCGATATAAAACCAGAGTTTCGTAGACTTCAAACATCGATCTACACAGTGGTATATAATAGCGCGACATTTGAAACCACAGAAATAAATTACAGGCGTTTAGAAACTGGTAGACAGCAGGGCCACCAGAGCGGCCCGCTGGCATTCTTCGCTTGTACTAGCTGGGCCGCTAGAGTGGCCCGCTGGCACTATAAGGGTTAAACACGAAAAAATTTGAGTTTTCCCTCATTATATCAAATGAAATATGACAGTAACAGAATACAATTGATATTTTTAGTTCTACGTCACTTGGTTCTGTTCGTACTGCTGAAGAACAATGATTTGTTTGCTCATATCTTCTTGCATATGTGACTGAGAATGTCAGTAATTATAGAACATGTGTTTAACGATGGGGACAACAGTCTTTAACATTGCCATAAATATATCTATTGAAATTACAAGACTGTCGTTTTCAAATTGTTTATATTATTATATAGATATTTATACAATGTCCTATTTTAAACACGTAAGCATTTGAGTTCATTGCTTATAATATGAAATTAAATATGACACGAACCTAATACACTGAATGTTTTTTGGCTTAGATGCAATCGTTTTGTTCGTACTGCTGAATAACATCGTTTTCGTTTGCTCATATCTTCTTATATATGTGACTGAGAATGTCAGTATTTTGAGAACATGATTTTCACGATGGGGACAACATCCCTTAACGTCGCCATAAATATATCTAGTGAAATTACCTATATGTACTTAATCAAGTTAAACTATATGATATATAAATATTTTTACAATATCTTACATTAAACAAGTAAACATTTGAGTTTCTTGTTTATAATATCAAATTAAGTATGACAGGAATCAAATACAAAGAATGTTTCTATTTATAGATGCAATTGTTCTGTTCGTACTGCTGAATAACTTCGTATATATTTGTTCATATCTTCTTGTATACGTGACTCAGAATGTCAGTATTTTATGAACATGAGTGCCAAGATGGGGACAACAGTTTCTAGAATCGCCATAAATATATATTGTAAAATAACCAAACTGTATGATTTTAAGTTAATAATATTATTATATAAGAGAGCCGAGCGGAGCCGAAGTTAGCCGAGTCCCCGCAACCTGGTAGCTAAGCAACGCAAGTCAACAAGGTGACGCGGAACCGCTTCCTACAGTGACGTGGCACGCAACAGGCACCACTGCGGCTATATAAGGGAACTGCACAGCAGCTACGAACCAGTTGTAACGTAACAGTCGGCCAGTCAGTTGTAATTTGACAGTCGCCGAGTTAAGTAGTTGTCGAGTGAGTGTGGTATCAACAGTTCTCCAGTCAGCCGACTACAGTTGGAGTACAGCAGCCGTCGCGGAAAGAAGAACCGGACGTGTGTGTGATTGTGTAATTGGGAGTGTGTGATACAGTGATACATAGCTCCCCTACTGTAAACGTGTAGACCACTGAACACAGAGTGAACTGATTTGCGCATAGGGTTATAAATCGTGAAACCCCGCAACAGCGTTAACAGATTAATGCGATTAGGGTTATAAAGTGTGAAACTCCGCAACTGTGTGATAAGTAATTGTAGCCGTTTCTTGTAGATTGTTAAATAAATCAATTAACCATCTCTACGGCGTATTCTGTAATGAAACACGTTACAATATCAAATAAAATATAACAGGAACTGAATACAATGAATTTTCTTTGTTGTAGATGCAATTATTCTGTTCGTTCTGCTGAATAACTTCGTTTCCCTTTGTTCATATATTCTTGTATATGTGACTGAGAATGTCACTTTAGTTTCATGAGTTACACGATGGGGACAACAGCCTTTATCATCGCCTTAAATATATATTGTGAAATTACCAAAGTGTACGATATGAAGTTTAATTAAATGATTATATGAATACTTGTACAATATCTTAAACAAGATAATATTTCAGTTTTCTTCATAATATCAAATTAATTATGACAGCGACCGAAAACAATGAATATTTTTAGTTGTAGAAGCAATCGTTCTGTTCGTACTACTTATAACATAGATATGGTTTCCTCATATCTTCTTGTATATGTGACTGAGGATATCAGTATTTTAGAAAATGAGTTGCACAATAGGGAGAACAGTTTTTAACATCGCCATAAATATAACTTTTAAATACCCGAACAGTTCGCTTTGAAGCTAATTATATGATTATATAGATAATTATACAATATCTTATCTTACAGACATAACCTTGTGAGTTTTTTGCTTATGATATGAAATGAAATACGACAGGAACCGAATACACTTAATGGTTTTTGTCGTAGTAACAATCGATCTGTTCGTACTCTGAATAACGTCGTTTTGTTTTGCTCATCTCTTCTTGAATATGAGACTGAGGATGTCAGTATTTTAAGATACATGAGTTTCAGGATGGGGACAGCAGATTTCAACATCGCCATAAATATAACTTCCAAATTACCAAAATGTACCTTATCAAGTTAAATTATATGATTATATAGATATTTATACAATGTCTTATATTAAACACGTAAATATTTGAGGTTCTGCTTTTAATATCAAATTTAATATGGCAGTAACCGAACACAGTGAATGTTTTTAGTTGTATTTGAATCGTTTGGTTCGTAAGGCTGAATAACATCGTTTTGGTTTGTCCATATCTTCTTGTATATGTGACAGAGAATGAGAGTATTTTATGAACATGACCTTCACGACTGGGATAAGAGTCCTAACATCGCCATAAATATATTTTGCGGAATTAACGAACTTAACGGTTTCAAGTTAATTATACGATTATATAGATATTTATTCAATGTCATATCTTAAAAACGTAAACATTTGAATTTCTTGCTTATAGTATGAAATTAAATATGACAGGATCCGAATAAAATGATTATTTTTCTTTTGTAAATGCAATCGTTCTGTTCGTACTGCAGAATAACATCGTTTTACTTTGCTCATATCTTCTTGTATATGTGACTGAGAATGGAAGTATTTTAACATATATAAGTTGCACGTTGCCGACAACAGTCTTTAACATCGCCATATATATCTTTTAAAATTACCAAACTGTTCGTTTTCAAGTTAATTATATGACTATATAGATGTTTAAAAAATATTTTATCTTACACACGTAAACATTTGTGATTTTTGCTTATAATATCAAATTAAATATGACAGGAACCGAATACAATGAATGTTTTTAGTTGTATGTACAATCATTCTGTTCGTACTGCTGAATACCATCGTTTTCGTTGACTCATATCTTCTCTTATATGTGACCGATAATGTCAGTATTTTTAGGACATTAGTTACACAATGGGGACTGCAGTCTTTATCTTCGCCTTAAATATATCTTTTGAAATTACCAAAATGTACGATATCAAGTTTAATTATATGATTATATAAATATTTGTACCATATCTTAAACACGAAAATATTTGAGTTTTTCCTTATAATATCAAATTAATTATGAGAGGCACCTAATACAATGAATGTTTTTTGTTGTAGAATCAATCGATATGTTCATACTGCTGAATAACATCGTTTTTGTTTGCTCATATCATCTTGTATATGAGACTGAGGATGTCAGTATTTTAAGATACATGAGTTTCACAATGGGGACAACTGTCTTTAATATCGCCTTAAATATAACTTGCGAAATTACCAAAATATACCTATCAAGTTTTATTATATGATTATATAGATATTATACAATATCTTACATTAAACAAGTAAACATTTGAGTTTCTTCTTATAATATCAAATTCAATGTGACTGTAACCGTATTCATTGAATTTTTTTATTTGCAAATGCAATCGTTCTGTTCGTACTGCTGATTAACTTCGTTTTGGTTTGCCCATATCTACATGTATTAGTGACTGAGGATGAGAGTGTTTTAAGAACATGAATTTCACAATGGGGATAACAGTCTTAACATCGCCATAAATATATCTTGCGGAATTAACAAACTGTACGGTTTCAAGATAATTATATGATTATATAGATATTTATAAAGTGTCTTATCTTAAAAACGTAAACATTTTAATTTCTTGCTTGTAGTATGAAATTAAATATAACAGGATCCGAATAAAATGAATGTTTTTGTTGTAAATGCAATCGTTCTTTTCGTACTGCTGAATAATATTGTTTTGGTTTGCTCATATCTTCTTGCATATGTGACTGATAATGACAGTATTTTTAGAACATGAGTTTCACGATAATACAACCGTCTCTAACATCGTCAAAATTATATATTGTGAAATAGCCGAACTGCACTATTTCAAGTTATTTATATGATTATTAGAAATTTATACAATATCTTATCTTAAACACCTAAACATTTGAGTTTTTTGCTTATAATATCAAATAAAATATGACAGGAACTGAATACAATGAATATTTTTTGTTTGTAGATGCAATCGTTTTGTTCGTACGGCTGAATATCGTTTGGTTTGCTCATATTTTATTATATACGTATAGTTTAATTATATGAGTAATTAGATATTTATACAACGTCTTAATTTAAACATGTAAACACTTGAGTTTTTTGCCTATATGTGAAATTAAATATGACAGCAACCGAACACAATGAATTTTCTTAGTTTTAAATGCAATTGTCCTGTTCGTACTGCTAAATAACTTCGTTTGTGTTTGCCCATATCTTCTTCTCCATATGACTAAGAATATCAGTATTCTAAGAACATGAGTTTCACAATCGGAAAACCAGTTTTACATAGCCATACATATATCATGTAAATTTTCTAAAATGTACGGCAAAAATTTAATTAAATATTTATAAAAAATATTTGTACAATATC